GGAGGGGGGGGGAAGGATCCAAAAGAGTCTGTAACCAGACACTGAAGCTTTCCAGGAGTGAGAGTGTGTGAGAGAGACGGAGACAGAGCGAGAGGAAGAGAGGGGGCAGTGTGGTCTAGTACATTTTCATCTGGTCGTTGATTTGAGCCTGATGCTTGCTGTCCCTCAACAGCCTCCCTTGCCTGGATTTTTTCTTTCCCCCTCTCCTCTCCTTTCCCTTCTACTTCATCGAAGCCTAGGGGAGCCAGGAAAGATTAAATGTGCTTTCGAAAAGGCAGCCACTTCATGCAGCTATGTCTGCTCCCCCCCCACTCCCAGCCACCCCCCCCTACTCCCCCTTTTTGAAATAAAAAAAAAAAAAAAGAGAGGGGGAGACAGAGAGGGGGAGAAGGAAGGAGGAGGAAGAGGAGGACTATAGTTTAATGATGTCGGGACTGGCTGATCCAGAAGGAGAAAAAAAAAAAGGAAAAAAAGAAACCTAAAAAAAAAAAAAAGAAAAAAAAAAGAAAATATTTGAGCTCCTGGACGAGGAAGGACTTTGGTGAATGGGCTCAGACTCCTGAGGTGAGAAAAGGACGGAGTGAATGATGATGATGATGATGATGATGGTTCCGTAATGGTGCCTGTTACCGCTGCCCCCGGCCGGGCGGCGGCGGGGCCGGGGCCGGGGGGGACCTGCCTTCGGCAGCGCCGGATATTTTGCATTTTTAACCTCGGGCCCTCCGGTACGTTTCGGCTTCTTCTCCCCGCTTATGCCGCTGGGCCTAAAGCGGTTCCAGAGCTGGGTGGAGGGTGCGGATCCGTATTATTTATTTGGGCGGGGGGGTGGGGGTGGAAGGGGGGGGAAAGAGAGGGAGGAATGGGAGGGAGGGAAGGGGAGAGAAGAGCGGAGGGAAGGAGGTGGCAAGCTGGGGACGAAATCCTGCTCTGGGTTATGGCCGGCGTAAATTTCCATTGGCTGGGGGTGCACAAGGTGCTCGGAGAGAGGAGTCGGTGCAGGATGGAGTCCCTTTGTGTGTGTGTGTTGTGTGTGTGTGTGTGTGCGCGGGGCTGCGGACCCTCCTCTCCCGGCGAAGCGGGTTTTTCTCCAGGTTTTCCTTTGAAGCCCCGGCCGGCGGCTGGCAGGGGAGGGCGGCCGGGGCTGCGGCGCTGCTGCCCGCGCCCTTCCTCCCTCCCTCCCTCCTCCTCCTCCTCCTCCTCCCCGCTGACAGTCTGGGGCTCGCTCCGGCACCGGGCTGGCCCCGGCTCCCGCAGCCCCCCAGCCCCCGTCTCTTCATCATAATAATAATAACAACAGCAGCAGCGGCAGCAGCAGCGTTGGTGGGAGCGCGGAGGGCGGCAGGCGAGAGAGAGGAGAGAGCTGCGGAGGAATTTGGTTCCTTTTCCTTCCCCCCCCCCCCCAACCTCCCACCCCGCCACCCGCTTTTTTTTTTATTATTATTTCCCCCCCTCTTTTCCTTGATATATCCCCCTCCCTTTTTTTTTTCCCCATATATATATATAAAAAAAAAAAAAAGAAAGAGAGAGAGATGTTTTAAAAATGCCAGCGGCTCGCCCAGCTGCGCACAGCCGCCCTCCCTCGCTCCCTCCCCCGGCTCTGCGCACACACCGCACGCTCCGCACCCGCTCGGGTGTCAAACCCCGCCGGGCACCGACCCCGGTGCGGGCACTGCCCCATTCCCACCCACCCCCCCCCGCGCCCCGCACCGCCGGGCCGGGTCCCCTCTTTTGCTCTTCGGCGCTGGAGATCGGAGCCTCTCCCCCAGCTTCCAAATGGTGAGTTTTCTACCTGATTTTTGTGGCGACTCGGGTTCTTTCTTTTTTTTTTCTTTTTTTTTTTTTCCTCCTCTCTCCTCTCCATCCCCGGGGCTGGCGGAGGGGGCGGGGAGGCAGCGCCTTTGCTGCTGCTTTGCACGCTTTGTGCCAGGGGCCGGGAGCGAGCCTGCAGATTCCTGCTCTTATTTCTGCATTCCTTCTCGTTGAAACAATGAAAATAATTCCGTCACTGCCCCAAACTTCCTCTTCGTTATTTAAATGCGGAGGCTTTTTCGTGTATTTGTCGCAAGCGACCTTGTTGGGAGCTGTAAGGAACCTGCCGCGCCATGTCATGTTTTGGTTTTTTTCGTATAAACGATTAAAAACGGAATGTATTCTCTCAACAGAGGGTCCTTAGAGAAGCTCTTTCCTTCCACCTGTGTGTCCTGTTTTGTAATCTTGAGCCATGAATTGAACTTGCCTGCTATTCTTTTCCTCTTTCTCCTTTTTATCCTTGTTTTTTTTTTTTTAATTACTATTATTTTTTTTGATCCCCGCTTTTCTTTTTTATTACCTTTCAAATTTTATTTTTGCAAGGAATAGTTTGTTGCGCCCCTCTCAATCCCTGAGACCCTAACTTGTGATGTTTAGCTTTTAAATCCACGGGTTAGGCTCTTGGGAGCTGTGAGTTGTGCTTTGACATCTTTATTTTATTTTATAAATATATCCTCTCTCTATGTGTATATGTGTGTGCGCGCGTGTGTATATATAGAGTCGTATACACACACATACAATAGTGTTTATAGACCTTTTAAGGGAAAAATAAGTGTATCTCTCCTCCTTAGGCTCGATCGGCTGATAGTAGGGCGGTGGTTATGGCCATTTACTGTAAAAAAAAATCAAATTAAAACCAGCGTTTGTATGACAGAGATTTTTTTGTGTGTGTGTGTCTATGTGTGTGTATTCACGAGATAATTTTCCAGCTGATACAGATATGGGGATGTATGTGTGTACACATCTAGTGATTATTATATATGCGTGTGTAGATAAGATATACATGATATGGATCATGTAAATACAGCTATTGAGGTGTGGGGAGAGATACACATATGGATGCTACGTGTGTATGAATATGTATGTAGGTAAATAAACCCCTCTCTATATATATCTTTACATATGTAGGTATATTAATGCTGTGTTTTCATGTGGAGGGAGAACTGCAGGCCACTGCATAGAGCATCTCTCTCATTTTTTTTTTTTGACTTCCCCCCCTTCTTGAGAGCAACACAGAGTACCCTGAGAGCGTAACAGTAACAGCTCGGTACATTGGTGCTTGACCTCAGCTGAAATCCCAGCATGCCTCATGCTTCCAAGTTTAAAACTGAACGATTAATCTTGGAAATGTGCTCTATGGACACACGGGGGAAAAAAAAAATTAAAGGAGAAAAAAACCCATAAAAAGCGAATAATAATAATAATAATAATAATAAAAAATAAAGCCAGGAGGCGGGTTGAATCTTAGAGGTGAAAAATAAACTCCAAGAATAAAATGGTTGCATGTCCTAATGGTTGGTTACTGCTGAAAAGAAATGCTGAAGTTTTGTTTGAGTCGTTTTCTAGAACTTCGAGCTCTCCTCCTTTTCCAGGCAAAATGATGTGTAAATGATGAATCAGAAATGTTCAAAATGTTTCCTGCTGCTGTTTTTCTTTATTAGTTTTTTTTTTATGTTGCTGTAAAATTAATTATGGTTGGAACTGTATTTCTTATCTCTGTTCTGCAAGGCAATTTATAATGAAGTTACTGTACCTTGTTATGGCACCGAATTACTGTTTGATATTTGAATGCAAATGCTTTAACTTAAAACACGATGCACCAAAAATTAATTGACGGTGTAACATTTGGGTATTTAAGAGCTGTAGGATATGTTTGCTGGTTCTTCCCGTTGTTTAATAGTTATTGAACTGGAAAAGGTTGCCTGTTCGATTTTTGACTTCTTTTCAAATTTTAGCTGCTTTTTATTGCCACTGTAATTTCACTGTTTTACCTCCATGAGAAAAAAAAATGCCAGGAAAGCATTGTGGGTTTGAATTTATATATTATCCCAAAGGTTCTTTAATTTAAAAGAGACATTCCGAGCTGCCTTTATTTTCTGTTACCTGCTTGGCGTTATAAATCGGATCACGGTGCGCCAGAGCCCCGCACCTTTGTCCAGCCTTTTACCGCCCGCAAAAAAAAGTGATTTTTTGGGTTTTGTGGTTTTTTTTCTTTCTTTCTTTCCTTCTGAAGGTTTTTAATAGCCCGAGGAGGGAAGGGGGGCGAGCGCTTTGTCTACCGGGGGGCGATGGGGACGGGTCGCCCCGCGTGTCCTCCCGCATCCCGCGGGCGCTTCTTTGGGGTTTTTTTTGGGGGGGGTGGGTTTGTTTTTTTTTGGGGGGGGGG